AGAATGCTCCACTGTGGAGTGCGAAAATAAACACGTTTTGACGAGGTCCAGGCTCCAGCAAAGTCGGCAAACTGCCTGGCGGCCATCCCTTCCGGCACGTCCAATCTGGTTGACGTACCTTCGTGCTTTGTCAGCCACTCTGCGAGTCGCTGCGTCTTGCATGGATGGGCTGGAGATTTAACTTCTGAACAGCGCTCGCACAATGCTCACCCAGATGGAACTTGAGCCAAGCTGCGTCTCGATGTTCACAGGCGGGTCCCAGTGGAGGATGAAGTCAATGTCAGGCTTGTCAATGCCCTGACCGTAGGCATCCGTGGCCACCATGATGTTGATGCGATTGTGGCGAAACGCCTGCCAATTGTGCGCAGGGCTGTTGTTTTCGGCCGTGCAGCAAAAGGAATAGTTTCTCGAAGCATCCGACTTTACTTGCAATTTCAGACAAGTTGATTCACATTTTTTGCTGAAGCGCCTTCCGTCGGCTTCCCTCAATGATCCTCAATGCTTGCTGCTGGCATGTTTTTGAATCATGGCACCCATTCCTCTCATTCGTAGTTGTTCTGAAGCATCCGAATTGCCGTGCACCCCCTGAACCCCCTGGCACCAGATTCAACTCCGCTCTTTCGTCCGGGGGCGTCTCGCCGTCCATCTGCCCCACCACCAGGTCAAGGCCACCTCACGAAGTCTTTGCTGCTGGGCCACCAGGCGAGACCCTTTGAGACGAGGGGCGCTGCTCCGCCTCTTCTTCCAGGCGGCGCCGTATCCTCACAACCGGAGCCAAAGCGCTCACACCAGCTATACCGAATGAAGAGGCTCGAGAAGCGATGCTGGTTCGAAAATCATCCAGGCTCCTGCGTGCCGTTGGCTTCGTCAGAACGTACACGACGGCCTCGGGTATCTTCCAGCCGCCGCTATGGCCATGCCAGTGTCAACTCGGAAGGGCAAGATGTTTATGTACGGATGCTGCACAGCAGCTGCATTGCGACCATCCACGACCAGCGAGTCCAGGATCATGTTCAACTTCTCCAACTCCTCGCATAGCTTTGACCACAACGACATGCTGATGCCCGATCCGAGAAATGTTCAGTCAACTTCCCCGGACCAGTTGAAACCCCACTGATTGCAGGCTGGTCTCTGGAAGGCTCTGGCAGCTCTCGAGTTGAAGGTTCTTCCGGAACATTGGCCTTCCCATCTACAGCTTTAAGTCTACGTCCACAGCTGCCTGCTGAACAACTCTCACAACAACTCAGCAAAAAGGTCACATATGCATTCCGAGCCGCATTGCACTTCCTGGCCGGAAGACACTAAGCACTAAATTTCACGCAAGACTGAAGTGGTCAGAGTTGGAGCCTGCCGGAGCTAGTGTAGAGGCCGTGCGATAACACGCAGAGATGTCAGAGACAATAGCTTACACTTTTCTCGGACGAGCTGCCGTAGGGATCCTGAAGCCGCAGATGCTCTCGGATGAAGTCCCTTACAGATTCCGACAGGGCACAAGGTTAAAAGTAATTCGTCTCAAACCCAGACCTGGCAGACCTGCAGGACATTGCAGGAAGTTCTCAGCTGCCGAAAAATGGCCTCTGCCTTCTTTGTAGGCAGGTGTCCAGGGTCAACGTGTCGCAAACAATCTGCAAGTTAGAAGTTTGTCCATACAAGAGACAAGTTTCCGACGGCTTGGCGGCGCAGCACCCGACAGAGCCATGAAGGGAACTCCACGGTATCTGGGCTTGAATCGCGTACGTTTTGCTATGGGCACTTGTTCGTAACAGGAGCGCCCAATCCAGACACGGCTGAGCTCGATTGACGCTGGAGTCCAAGCCTGGAGGTGCGAGCTTCAAGCCGAGGGACGCTTCACGAAGCCAATCGAGATCGAGAAATGCTGGCCGAAACTCCTTGACCGCTGGGGCGTCACTCGAAACGACTGGAATCTGCTGGAAAGGCAAAGGTACTAAGCTAAGATTCATGTGCACCCCAAAGCCGCGTGCACTCCCACGCGCACACACACATACCTACATGCGCATGCATATGTATAGAACAGATGAGACGGTCTTCAACGATTGCCAAGGTGCATGACCCCAAAGTGGCATGTAGCATGCCTCATCTACCACGACGGCACAGATCCGTGAGCCTCAAGCTTGAGCTGCGCACTGGTCTTCCTCTTTGAACGAGCATGACTCAAGCTATGTATCAGAATCTTCTTGCGGACCCGGCCACTCTTGCACAAAGGGACGAAGGCTTCGAGGTACTTCTGTGTGATCGACTCTGGGCACATATAAACCAGACCTGCGCATGTCATAAGCTAGGCAAAAATGACAAACTTCACTTCAAGCTCACCTCGAAAGCAGACAGGGCTCAAGCTATTTCCCGTACCAGTACATCGATGGGACAGCGCTAAAGTCACAGGGCCCAGTTGCCACCCAGCGGCAATAGTCGCCAGCTACAGCCGCCTCAATGACGGCTTCGTCCTTCTGTGCAGATCCCAGAAGGCAAGCCTGGCCCAAAGGATGTCTCGCTACTGCCGGCCTAAAGCAAATCCAGCACAGAAGTGTCCGAATAGTTCTCGGTGCCTTGGCCGCCTCCTGTGCGGTGCCCTTTGTGTTGAATTGCTGCACCTGATCCTGCAACGACACATCGCCGAGCCAGCGGAGCCGCCACACTGAGACTGTGAGTTGCCTGCATCACCGGGATCGTCGGCTCCACCACAATGACTATGCCCTGCTTCCTGCAAAGCGACCGGCGCGAATTGCGTTCGAGTAACTGAAGGAGACACTAAAGCGCGTGTTCAGTATTCCGCTCGTAGGGAATAGGAACTTTGACAAAATCAATATATCCATTTCGCAGCTATCTTCGCACAGCCTTTTTCTAGGAATGTCACCAACTTTTCATGCTGATAGCCTCATGCTCCTGATGTTCGCGCTCGAGAACAGCATGAGAAGCAGTCGAAGATTCGCGCGTCCTCACTTCGCCCAGAAGTGGGCGGCCTAACGAAGATTCGTTTAAAGAACATAGGTACGAGCATGACGAGTGAAAGACCCAGATGATGTCTTGAAGTTTGCTCCAACACGTTAAGCCCTGACTGTGGAATTGGAGGCATTGACCGAGAGTACCACAGGAACCACATTCATGCGGTGCAGTCCATGACCAGCCGAATGGCAAGCGTCAAGAACGATGGCGCCTGCTAAGCTGCCAAATCTAACACGCCAGACGGACTTCTCACATGTTACGTAATCTGTTTCTCGATGCCCGCCAGAATCGCAGAAGCCTGACGTCACGCTTTCACTATTCCAAAATACGGCTGAGAAATACTAAGATGTTCGTGGGGCTAAGAAATGCTAAGAATCGCCGGAATGTAGGCTGTCTAGGGAAGACAGCAACAGCCAAAAACAGTGGACGCGTGAGCGGTGTTTCAACACCCCAGCACTCCTCCTCCAGGCAAGGACCGCCAAAAGCTGAAAAACCAAGGACTTCCCAGCCGCCGTTGGCCAGTAGAGCTCAATGTCCTGTGCGCGCGGAAGAGGTTGTCGGAAGAAACGTTAGAATCAATCGGAAGTGAACTGGTGCCTTCTGGCTGATTGCCGCTCGCAGCGCCTCTTCCTCGCAACTCAGGTTAGGGAGAGAACCTGACGAGCCTCGCAAAGCCTCGAACAAGCCTGTCCTGCCGTGGTCGGAAAGCATCATGCCCGAAGAAGTCCTGGCAGCTCATGGAAATTTGATAAAGTCGCAGGAAAGTTGCAAATATACTGGTACACTGATTCTGTGAGCAACATCGGCCATGGGTCCTTCAGCAGGACCCGGGCTTCTGCCATCAGCTTCTCGAGAAGCTGCGGCCATTCCTGCAACCAAACAGTCGCCCGAGGTCGCTGCGGGCTGGAATTTTGATTTTGCTGCTTGCACCCTGATGGCTGTCCTCGGCGCTGCAATCGCCCCACCAGTTCCAGGGTTGTGTGCCGCCTTCCGAAGAGGCCAAAGTCGGAAAGCCTCCACAGCTGTGCCCAGCTGTGCAAGCTGATGCTGGGGACGGTGATCTACAGAATGCAGAGCAAATGCTAGTCTAGGTCGCCCAATCTCAAACGGTCTCCAAACACATCCGAACGCTCTGCGAGAAGAAGTCCTTCCGGATTCTCGAATGCTGTCAGTCCGAGGTTGCAATCCACAGCAGAAACTGCTGCGACTCCGGAAAAGGAAATGCTGAGTGCTTGCAGCAGTTTGACTCCATCGAGGACAAAACTGTAAACACTGAGACATGATGAATGCACTGTTGCCGCTGTCAGGGTCATTTAAACGGCGTTCTTGCTGGTATTCTGCGTTGGGCTTGCACTTTCCAGCCGGGGGCACCCAAAGACTCCAGCAAAGAGTTGCGTTACACCGTTCTTTGATCTTGAATCTTCATTGTGCTACACGTACACTTCACGCCAAGTTGTCGCTAAGGTTAAGGTATGTGACAGGGAAAATCGCGCTCCTCAGTGGAACAATCGTAGTCAAGCACTATTTCAACTGCAGGATGGCTGTGCCGCAGCCTTCTGGGACGCATCGCCGGGCACGTCCTCGCGGCAGCGCAGGCAGCGCGGCAAAGGCCAGAGCTGCCCGAGCCCTCGCCGCCGTCGCGCCAGAGCAAGAGCCCTGGCCTCAGGCCCAGACCGAATTCCAAAGCACCAGCTGGTGGCAAAAACTTTTGGGCCCACACCTGCAACTTTGGGACCTAGCGCCACCCGGCGCGGCAGCACTGCCGCGGCACTGTGGGGTGCAGCAAACGCTAGGGCCATGCCTGCTTGAGGTCGCCAAGGCTGCCCCGATGCATGTTTTGGTGCAGGATTTTAGTGAGTTATGCGGGGCTGGTTCGTCGCTGAATTTCCACATTGAAAAGCATTGGGGGCTTTGCTTGGTTGCAGCTGAAGTTCCAGGAAGCACTTTGGCTTCTGTTCTACGGACAAGCTGGCGAGCATGGTGAGGACAGACAGATGCGGTGAAGTCTCAGGCTCCAATCAAAGGTTCAGGGAGCCGACGGAGGCGATGGCACGCGAACTCGGCCGTCCGACTGGAATGTCTGGGCAGGGCTGCTGTCACTACCCGGTCTCGGAACAAATGACACCCGCAACAACTGCCGCATTGCACCTTGCCTCAAAGCTGTTCTCACTGCAACTAAGCACGTTCAGCGAATCGCAGCAGTGGCAGGATAAGGTTGGGCTCCAGCCTGTGAGGTTGGCGAAATGCCGCCAAGTCGGCCAGGGTGGAGGGCCTGGTAGACCGGCATTGGCTGCAGCGACTGCACCTGCTTTGGTTCTGCATGGAGCTGGGGAGCCCCAATTCGCTCAGGGCAGTTTAATGAGTTTAATGAGTCTGAGTCTGCAAATGTCTGCAAAGTCTTCGTCCGAGTCACAGAGGTGGCACTGCAATTCCAAGCTACTGGGACCCACGAAGCTGAGTCCGAGAGGACTGCAAGTCGGTGAGGCACCGGTTGGGAAGCCACCAGCTGCGGCGAAAGGGTTTGAAGGCCTCATAATTTTCGATTGCAAGCTGGATGACAGCACAGGAACTCATTTGGAATCAGGTGCTGCCTGGTCGTATGTGTGCACGAGTCACAAAACTGCGAAACGGAGTTGCAGGGGAGCTTGGCAGCCATGCTAGGCCACGAGCAGCATGCGTTGCTCTGCGGCATCACCTGCCTGGGGAAAGTATCAACGAAGCATTGTCCTACACAACAGCAACAGGTCGTCGGGCTGGCTCAATATCAGTCTAATGACCCGACTTCGGAACTACACCCCCAAGCATGCTGACGCTGGATCCTTATCGAAAATGTCGAAGGCACAATTGCTTCTCAATGAATGCCGCCATCCTGCTGTCTCTGTGCCCATGGCCTGGGCACGGCTGTGACCGGCTCCCAAAGGGGGGTCGCCTGGGCCTCGGCCTGGGACCACGGACCGCTTCTTGCGCCGAGTTAGACATCGGTGCAGCGCAGCAACCGCATGCGAGCTTTCTGAGCAAGTTGCACTTGCTGCCGGCTGTGCAGGTTGCGGCTGTGCCGGCGGCGCCGCCGGCGGCGGTTGGGGCTGCCACTGGCACTGCAGAGCAGGCTCGGGCCTGCAAGCGTCTGCACTGCGTCGCAGGTGGGCTTCACACTGCAATCCGCTGCGTCCTGCCAGCAGGCTCCGCCTCCTGGCAAGGGAGCCGAGTGCTTTTTTTGGCACTCCAAGCCAAACGCAGCCAAGGCGGCACCTCCTTGGCTCGCAGAAGGCCAGGCGAGGAGAGCGAGGGCCCCGAGGGGCTCTGAGGCTCCGAGGCACCTCGGCAGACAGGCCAGACACAAGCTGGGCATCCCAAAGAAGCGCGATGAAGCGCGAAGCCAGGTGCCCTGCCGGAGTTGGGCGAAGGCTCTAGTGGCTCTAGTGCCGCTGCCTCTGTGAGCGAAGCAGTCGAAGCATTCCCCAAGATCCGGCGCGACGACAAGACCCAACAGGACGTCACCAGACTAAGCCGTCCATGCCATGCACCGGCACGAGAGATCAGCACGATCTGGTGGAATGAGTTGCTTTGGTATTTGGTCGCGTCTTTTCTTAGGTGTCGGATTTCTGGCTTAATTATGGATGATCATCACCCGAAACTCCCGATGTGGCAGGTTGCACATGTTCCTGCGCGATTTGCTTGTAGCACCACCATCACCTAGAGCACCGGCACCATCAGCAGAATCAGCGTCGCCATCATGAATCATGATCATCATTATCATCATCACCATCATCATTATCATCAACGTCATCATAACCGTCGTCATCGTCATCATCGTCACCGTCATGATCACCACCACCGCCGCAGACCTGTCTATTGATGATCATCAGAAGTGACCGTATAGGCACACCGTTTTTCAGACCGAAATGGACCGAGCGACGAAACGACTGGCTAGCCGACAGACTACAAACAAAATGCGCGGGCTGACTGAACGACCGGCAGGTTAGCTCAGAAACAAAGCCGGTGCGAAAAAATGATAGGAAGAGCGCTCGAAGAGAATCCCAAACCTCTACAGGACTGTATAGGAGGACTGCAAAGGATGCCTCCATATCAGCCCACGACATTGCCAGCGCCGGCCGAATGCTCCCTCAGTTGCACGCATGTGCTGCCTCCGCCCCTCTGTGCATCGAGCTCAACCATGTAAGCACGGTGCTTGCCGGACTGCTGACCTCACCCGTCTCAACCTGCTAGTGGCGAAGGGAGGCCATTAGCTTTCGTGCTTTGCTCCACTATAGAGGTTGCCTCCCACTTCAACATTACGTTCGGAGAGACCACCACGGCACCGTCGTCCGGCAATGGGGAACACTACATTCATTCATCACTACAGACGAACGATGAGGATTGCGCCATGTTTGCATGAGAAATCTCAAGCGTTGCCGTTAATCGTTGCGTATATCTCATCGTATCTCATCGGACGCATGTGGGATTCTGAAGCAATAGTTACTAGTTTGCAAAACGTTTACGTTCACGGAACTGCTCATAGCTGCTCAGCGCCGCACCGACAGTCGTGACTCCGCCGGCACGGAGGGAGCTGCCTCGAGCCTCCCCCGGACTCACCAAGGACGCGGGCGGGGAGCCGGTTTCGGTTTCAGTACACGGCTGGGGCTCTTTTGGAGTCGGTAAAGAAACAGAGTACATGCCCATCTCAGCGGCGTTTCACCGCTTTTGCTTCCTTTGGAATGCACATTGACATGAAAACGCAGTCGAAGTCCTGGTAAATCATGCAAAAGGCCCTGGAAAGCCATGCACCCGATCGGCCTCAACACGCTTTGCCCAGGGCTGAGCGGCGGTGTGGACAAGGACAAGGCCTGTGCCGGAGACGCACCGTCGCTCTGAGCCTCGAAAGTCCCACCCCACATACAGCGAGGACGACCAAAACTCTTGGGACGGCAGCTTTTTGCTGGCCTGTGCTGTTAGGCCGAACCCGTATTGCGGATTGCAGATCATGTGGAAGCTGGACAAGTAAAGACATATCGAATCGGGGGACAGGCATGGCAAAGGTGAATATTGGCCGAGCAACTCAAAAGTTGGCCCCCTGGCCGCACGGACTGAGGCGAAGCAGCAGCAGCAGCAGCAGCAGATGACATTGTGGCAGCTCTATGTTGCGCAATCGCCTGCAGAATTGTCCGACGGGCAAACCCTTGCAGCCCGTTACTCGCTGCTAGCTGTCGAAACAAATGCCCCTAAAGAATGTCTCGACCTTTTGCTTTCGGGGCAAAGGCCGGGGCCGAATAGCACAGCAAGAAGAAATCAACAGGAAGTTGAAGAGCCTCCTGCCTTGTGTCTGAAAAGCTTTCAGTCCTTACAAGCAGTACGGTGCGAATCTCTTCCACCGCGCCTCGCTGCGACGAATCTCCGCCAGCGCCGAATTCAACTGTGAGGGGCTGGCCAGTTCCGAGCCTCGGACTCTCTCTAAACACGTTCGAACTGCAAACGAGGCAGATGTCCGCAGATGCCTGTCCAGCTTTGAAGGCTTTAGCCTTTAGCATCTTGAGCATCGCTACAACATACTCTATTTGCACTTCACATGTCAAACAGCCCAGCATACAGTGCAGGAAGACGTACAGCTTCGTGCATGACATGTATCTGTATGTGCGTATATGTATGCACAGAAACCTTCTTGTCTGAGTGCACGTCGTTGATGTTCAAACTTCAAACCAAGCACAGGGCTCTTAGCTGGTGTAACACATGATGGACACTATCTAGACCCCATAAGTACCTGTCTTACACAGAGCAGATTACGTGTTGCCGCTTGCCTACAGAAGGTTCATAACTACATGCGAGCACACGCACACACACACACACACGCCTTGCTTACGATGCACACAGCGCATGCTACATCAAAAAGCTGGGTTTACACGTTTGGAGTACCCTGGACAGCCACTGAATGTCTGCAGTCTTTGCAAGTCGCAGAGACAGAAGTGCGTGTGCATGACATACTGACATACCATACAGCATGAGCATGACACAAAATGCACACAGGCCACGTGTGAAACTTGCGAAAAAAACAAATTATAGGCAACATGCGAATCGGAGCTGGCGTACACGACAGCAAGCGTAGACTACGCACAGGCAGCACAGGACAACATGTGCAAGCCGTGCACACCAGCACGGCACAGCATTGCATATCGGCCAAAGAACGGTAATGCGTACCAAGCATATACCACTCGCATCCCAACATACACGACATACAATCAGTGTTGTACGTCCCCATACAGCACGCACATGTAACAGCCACGTCAAAGAACATGCAACTGTGGGGCAACGCGCCGCATGAACTTTTTGTTGGCACATGCCCGCATCCCATCCACAAGCACGTACGCTGGGTTCTCTAGAGTAAATGTGAGAGAAACGGACATGGAGAGAGAGAGAGAGAGAGACAAAAACAGAGACATAGGCAGAGACAGAGAGTGAGAGAGAGAGAGAGATAGAGATAGAAAGAGAAAGAGCGAGAGCGAGAGCGAGCGGAGAGCGAGCGAGAGCGAGAGCCGAGAGAGAGAGCGAGAGCGAGAGCGAGAGAGAGAGAGAGAGAGTGAGAGAGGCAGGCATAGGACACTGTCGAACACCAAGATCGACCAGCGCACAGGTGGGCATAGCTTTGTCTGCTTACACTCGGTCGACGCCAAGCCAGAAGAACAGAATGGATACTAGCAAGAGCTGAAGGCTATGACGTGCATGTGGAAGCAGAAGCAACATCGACTTCCCTCTCACATGACTCAGATATTTGCTGGACCACCCTTTATTGCAGCGACTCGGGAACAAGCACGACTGCGGCGTGGACTCGGGTTTGGCTGCCTTGCTCTGAGCAGCAAGTGGCTCACACTCATTCCGCACCGTGGTGCTCAAGGTGCCCAAGTATTGCGATGCACCGTGTAACAGCAACTGCCAAATGGCAAGTGCCTCCATTTCACCCCACGGTGTCGAAAGTGCACGAGAGCTGCCTCGAGCGGTAAGGATCGAATCTTCCCAAAATTCAGACAAAGGTGCCACGGCCTAGACTCTAGGTCCGGAAGTGTTGTTAAAGTGACTTCACTGGCGAAGAGACCTAAAATGCCCAGGGACCCTTTCGCTGGCTCGGCTGGGTGGCCGGCGCCCGGGCGAGCTGGGCGAGGCCTCGACAGGCCGTCCGGTCGCCTCCTGCAAGGCACAAGCGTTCCTCGGACCTCCCATCTCCAGTTCCACATGACTCCGCTCACCGCTCTCTGGCGGTTCTTTTTGCATGTGCGGCGTGTTTGGTCTGTCATGCCATGGCGAGCATCGGACGACATCTAGCAAGGGCTATGGGCTATGACTCCAACTCAGATGTCCGAGGCCCGCTACGAGCACGGCTCTGGGATGATTGCTTGTCGTGGGAACTGCGCAGTTCCTAGCTGGCATGGTCGGCAGAAGGGCACATCGGGTTTGCAGCGGGTGTGATCTGCTGCAAAAGGCCCCCGACAAAGCAGCATCGACAGTCACATGATCTGCTTTCAGAAAAGCAGCGGCTGCTCTCGCGTAGCGCTTTGCGCTTGCGTGATCAGTGAAAATCGGGCACGGCATCAAGAATAATTTCCAATGAGGTTTGCCAAAACCTGTCTACCGTTGTTCCAACACGCGCCCAACATCCGATTGGCTAGTATTGCTGTAGTTTGATGGCTCTCGCGTAATGCGGCTTGGAACTTGACCAAGTGTGTTTATCTGGCGGCGTCGTGCCCAAATTCTACAGCATTCTCGTGCGGGTCCGACCCCCGGTCTTGTTGTGCTCTTTAGTGCACCTCATTCGGAAGTCGTCCGAATGCTGGTCTCGCACTCTGATTGGCCACAGAGTTGTCGAAGAGTTCTAGCATGTGCCGTTCGGAAGTTAAGACCAGAGTATTGCAAGGCCGGCAGAGACTCAAACGAAAACCAGCTGACTGGCACCATACGCAAGCAAACTACAGTCTCACGTCGGTGCCTAGCTCAAGTCTGCTTCCGCGACCTTGGCCACGGTTGGCAGCATGGCAGAGTAAGAAAATGTGAGAAAAGGCTACCGGCTAGCGGCTATTTCGTCTATCACGCGGATTGGAGGACTCTGGGCAGGCTGCAGCTTCAAAGCCCTCTGAGGAGGCGGCGGTCGAACCTGGCAACTGTTCTGGGGGCAGGTTCGGGTTTGGGCCCTTGGGGAAATTCTTTGAGGCCGTTCACAGGAGTCACAGAGAATCTCCCTCGACCCTAAAGGCATCACATAAGCGTCCACTTTGAGGACAGGAATGCACTCTAACAGAGTCTTCAACCCGCCCCACCAGCACTCCCAGCACTCTGTTGCTAAACCGCGAAGGCCAGAGAAAGCCAACACTGTGCCTAATGAATGCATCCCCCCCACCTCATCGTACCACAGTTGCTTGCACCACCGGAACTCCTTGAACTGGCATTCCCTGCCTGTGTGACGGAGGGCTGACAAGCGTCGAGGCCGACTGCATTGGACATATTGGATAGGCTTTCGTGGGTGTCACCACCACTATTCACGAACGGCCAAACGCCCACAGATACCACAAATACCTCCACCGGCGAAGCATTAGCTCTACTTGCCTCTCCTGCATCTACCCTCTAGAATTCCGAGACTCGCGATGCTCCACATCCTGCCGCGAAAGCTGGGGCAGATACTGCGGGTACTGCGGATACTGGTCCATGTACCTCGCAAAAAACTCACTACTCGGGCCGATACAGCGCAGTTCATGTCTCGACTACAACGCGGGTCTTGTAGACGTGGGCCCTCGTTGGTTGGCGTCACCAGTCACCAAATCAACGAACTCCCCGGGGCACTGTGGCTGGGGCGCCCCAACCATGGCCGGGTGCATCCCTCCGCCGGCACCAGACATGCCCACCTTCCACACTCAAGAAAGAGAGTCTCTGCATGTCTCTGCAAGGGCAGGGAAACGGCCCCTGCCTTCTGAAACATCATCTGCTGCGCTGGCGGCAGTGAGTTCATGATGAGTGGCGGAAATCCTCCGCTGCATCTCCACAACGGCTTCTGTGTGCTCAGGCCTGAGCCCGCTCTCGCTAGACTGGCCTTGATAGCCGTTCTTTTTGATCTCGTCGATCTCAATCTGCTGCTGCGCATGCATGCATCCTGTCACACTGAGGACGAGACCTCGGCAACACCACGCGAGGCTTGCATCATCACATCTTTTCAAGCTCTCACCCTGGGAAACCATCGCCCTTGATGCCGGGTCGCAGTCTGCCAGCAGGTCAATCTCCCTCGGAATATCGATGAAGCACCTGTAGGGACTGTAGGGTCTTGGTCTGCATAGGTTCATTTTACAGCTAACGATCCGAGGTCCGAGACTTGAATTGAAGTGCCGCTCTGCTGCTCTGCACTCCCAGTTAGGGCACGGGCCGCGCAATGTCAATTATCCAAACCTCGGCAAATCTGGTTCCTGCAAGCTGCATCAGCTGGCCCACAACTGAGATTGGACCAGCTCTAGGCTCCCGACAAAAAGGCATGTGCCGGTGATGATGCAATCATCACAAGCCGTGTTCTCTTTGTCGAAGCGCGTCTGAACCATAAACCTCTGCAAACATGATGTATCTCCCTCACGGTGTGGAGATGTTGCTAGGCAGTATCCAAACCCAAACGTTGGGATTCCGAACCGGTTGCCGCTTACGGCAAGCCCGGGACAGCAGCAGACCTCTGCGCAAAGGCAGGTGCGGTCCTGCGTTGCAGGCGAAGGCTACGTTCATCTCACAGCTCCCGCTCCGTGACCCCAGGACAGCATGTCTACAACTGCTTGGACACATACCGATGCTGCCTAGCATAAGTTTGGGCGTGAAGATCTTCCGGACATCGCGAGGGGCTGCACAACCACAGCAAACGGCAGGCTTTTGAGCAGGTGCGGGCTCTGCAGAGATGCCAGCCCCAGGCCCTCTTTTCTGCCACGCGGCATGGAACAGCTGTGCCTTGGCGCTCGGACCCACCTTTGTGGCCGAAGCTGTCTGAATCCGACAAAAGCACTCCTAAGTGTTGCCAGATTCAGGAAGCTGCCTGGAAGCTGCAGCGAGCAGGGAAATGCTCGGAAAAACAGAGCGCCTAAAAGTCTCTGCGTCCGTCTCGCCAAGCACAAGAGGCGCAGGTTCACCCTTGCCTTTACACTGGAGGTGGGCAGCAGCGCATCTACGAATGAACCGGCCAATATGCCAGAGATCGAGAGATGCTCTCGACTTGTTTTGGGCCGGAGGCTCGCAGTGCCCACGAAGCAGGCTACATCAGGATCTCCATCCCAGCATCACGGGTGCCGTAGAACTCCTGCAGAGTCCATGAGTATCCATGGAACCTCCCATGACGCATGTCAAGAACAATGCCTAAAAAGCACTCTCCTTCAAGCCATCCACGTAAATCCACTCCATAGCCCGAGCTGGCGACAAGAGCTTGCAGTAGTGGTAGCCGACAGTTTGAATGAAAGGCCTTGCGTGCACCAGGCAGGCATCCACGGTCAAACAAAAGCAGCGGCGAGCAAGCCGATGCAAACGGTCAGCTGTCTCTGGCTTCGCAACCCCGCTGTACCCTCCGACTAGTATGTCCGCCTTATGACAGATCCCTGAGAGTTACCCCGAAAGACCAGCAGAAGGAGAGCAATCTTCTGGGTTGTGCTACCAAGCGACACGTCTCCCAGATTCCTCAAAGCCAACCAAAACAATCATGACTCACGCTTCTAAGCCTGAAAACACAATCATTCAAAAAACATGAGCAGGCGACGATGCCACACACACATCATCATTGGCCCGCAAGCTCACACCGGGCATCGCACAAAATCTGGCAGCCAAGACTCTTGTTCTTCAAAGGGAAGTAGTGGGACTGCACTTCGACTGTCTTTTTGTCCTCTGAGGGGTGCTCAGGTTCTGGACTCTACCGATAGGAAGCTTCACCAACACATCCTTGCCGAACCTGTACGCGGCTGTCCTTGCTGGGAGTGTATGAAAGTGCATCATGGATCCACGTCGGACCGGTAACTCCAAAGCCAGACTTCTTGTCCTGCGATAGATGTCCGTGGAGCACAAGCGTGCAGTGGAGCCCTTGCCCGATGCTCGCAGCCCCCTACCTGTGATGGCACAGAATCTGATCCCAAAGTCTGCACTCGACGATTACGCTTTGCTACTACTATGCTCACGTGTATTGAACATAAATACATGACCATTAGCACATGCTGTTGCGACTAATGCCTCTGCGTTGTGGGTTGTTGGATAGCTTGCCCAAGTGCCGGATGCAATCTTCTCAACAAGGAGCAATCTCTCGACATGGGATCAGATATACTAGACTCTAACCAGCCCAGTTGCTGTGACACGTGTCCTTAGCCGTAATACTGATACTTTCATAGTATTATGGCCACTTGGCATCTGTAAGGTGAGTATGCAGGTGTTGTTGTTGCTGCTGTTTTTGTTGTCTACATGCATGCTGATCTGCTGGTTGCTGTTGGTACGGAGTGCCATTGCTAGCCACATTTATCGTTTTGACAGAAAGTAACTGCTACTCCGAAGCCTTTAGGTACTGCCAGTTCTGTTGTTATGCCCGGAGCGACATCATCACGATTGACATCAACTGCAGTATCACCCTCGTAGTCACCAGCATCTTCATATTTATCATAACCATCAAAACCACCTGCATCATGATCAGCAGCGTCTTCAACGAAACCAGAACCATCGTTACGATGATAGCTGCTACTGCGACTCCCGCTGGTACCGCTGCCGGTACTGCTGCTGCTGCTGCTACTACTACTACTACTACTACCACCACCACAACGACCACTGCGACTACTACGACTACTGCAACTCTACATCTACTACATCTACGTCTACGCGTACGCCATGCCTACTCCTACTCTTTGTCCTACTCTTATTCATTGTCTACTGGCTCTATCACTACTGCTACTACTACTACTACTACCACCACTACTACTACTACTACTACTACTACTACTAGTCCTGCTGCTGCTACTACCACTACTACTACTACTACTACTACTACTACTACTACCATTTCTGTTTCTAGTAGCATTAATACTATTACTCATACTACTACTACTACTACT